GAAGCAGGGATAGCCAATAGGATGCCATCAGCCCCAGCCTGCATGGCCAGTGGTATGGGATGATAGCCCATGCATGTAGTGCAAGTCTAAAGTCAGCACCTTGGTCAGCGCATGGTGGGAGCCAGAGATGAGACTAGGCTTGTTGGCAGGCCCTTGAATAGAAAACAAATAACCTGGAGACTTCTGAAGCAGGGAGGTGTGTGTTCTAGGTCTTGCTTCCTTGTTCTAGGTCCTGTGTGTTTTAGGTTTGCTTCTTGGGGAAATTGGCTGGGCATCTTGGGGCAGTGTTCCCCAACCTTGGGCCTCCAGCTGTTTTTGGACTACAACTCCCATCATCCCTCGCTAGCAAGACCAGTGGTCAAGGATGATGGGAATTGTAGTCCAAAAACAGCTGGAGGCCCAAGGTTGGGGAACACTGTCTTGGGGCATCCTGCAGTGCCTCCTGATGCATTTCAGAATGGCTTGGCACGGAAAGCAGGATCCGCAGAAGTGAGGGAGTTCTGTGAGGAAGAGTTGGTGCTGGATGAGAGAGTAAGCAACCTTGCTTGGAAAAAGGAGATGGAGGTACCACAGCCCCTTCTTCCTCCTGCTAGAGGGAGAGGGCCTCTCTATTTTTGAACTCTCTTACTGATGTGGAAGTGTCTGGGTTGAGGCCCTGTCCCATGGGAATGAGATACATTTCAACTACGGAAAGAGGGAACAGTTCGGTCAAGCGCCAGTTTGAATATTTCCCTACCCTTGTCCAATTTGATTGAGTTGAATTCTGAGTTTTGATCCATCCAAGTTGCTCCATCCTTTCCCTTCCCAGATTTTTCTGTGGGTTTAATAACTCTTTTGCGAATGCCTTGACATGACCAGGTAGCATTTTGAGAAAGTCTCGGCATGGTCAGCGTTCCACACCAGCTGCCAAAAGGTGACATCGGCCCTGCATATTTTGTTTACTACTACTACTATCTTATTTTTTTGTGCCCTGCCCATCTGACTGGGTTGGCCCAGCCACTCTGGGCTGCTTCCAACAAAAATACAAAGACACAGCAGAACATCGCACATTAAAACTTCCCGATACAGGGCTGCCTTCAGATGTCTTTGGAAGATTATGTAGTTATTTATCTCTTTGACATCTGACAGGAGGGTGTTCCACAGGGGGAAGGGCACCACTAACAATACACTACTTGTATTGTTTCAAAAAGCAATACAAGTCTAATTTTACAGAACTTGAATCGAAATAGGGAGCTGTGAGAGAGTAGACAACAGTTAACTATTCATTTCATTTATGAATCGCTTCCTATAAAACATTCTGAAGTGTATATACTGAAAACTGTTTTTCAATTCCGTTATAGGTACAGACTGAGATAAAAAAATCTCTACTAACAAGGCTTGTTAGAAATGGAAGGTTTTCAATAGGCACAGAAAAAAGCATCGCTTCCAACATCATATAGAAAGGGCCTTCTGGTGAGATGTCATCAGCAGGAGTGATTGGCCGGGTATATAAGGGGCAAGACAATCTTTTAGGTATTCTGGTCCTGAGCTGTGTATGGCTCCGTACATTAGTACCAGCATCCTGAACAGAATAGGCATAAAAAGAGTTTGGAGATAGCTCAGGATCCAGGATTCCATGTCAGACAGAATTCCTCCTCAAGTTCATGTCTTCTGCTCCCCCTTGCTTACTCACATGTATGAATCAGAAAACAGAGGTCAGCAGCTGAGGTGCAGAAGGCGAGAACTTTTAGCTGAAGTTTTGTTGCTGCTCCTGCTTGTTGGTGGAAGGGACACTTTGCCCTCTTGGTTTGCATGGGAAAGGAGCAAATATAGCTTGCTCTTTGACCCTTTTGTTCTGTTCAAAATATGACCCCCGGTGCAAAATAATAATAATTCTGTCTGTCTATCTATCTATCTGTCTATCTATGTATCTAAAGTTGGTGACCAAGGCAAAATGCAGATGTAAATAATGGACACGGGGACCCTTGAATTTTAGATGGACTGCTGAGCGAGTTGTCAGTTACATCAGCACCAGGCTAGAAAGAACTACTTGGATTTGTCTTGAGTCAAAAGATGTTGGCAAAGTTTTCAGTTCTTTAGCTTGGATGCATGCAATTAATACAGTATTGTGCTTTGATTCACCAGGTGGGTTTACAAAACAACTACCTCTCCTCTCACTAAAAGGTTTTTTTAATGATCCCTGTCTCCCCCCATCTCCCCCCCCACCTTCAGTTAGAATGGATCTTGATCCTATTCTGTGTTTTAAAAACAGAAACAGAATAGGTTTGCTATGCTTTGTCTTGTTTGTCTCATGATGGGAAACTTTTGTGGCAACAGGAAACCAGGGAGAAAATTGTATTTAAAAAGCTGTTGTTATTGTTGTTTTAAGTAAGAGTTCTTTAGACTATTGTTGCAACTCCTGATTTGCTCAACCCACTCTTAGTTTAGGAACTGAATCTTGATTGAGTTTTCATAGCTGTTATTTTAATTATTTTCTCCTCTGTTACATTATTTTTAAAAAGAAACTAATTAAAATTATATCCACATATTATACTAACTCAGTAATCCAAAAAACGTCCATGTGTTGCAGTAACACAGCAGTCCAAATTAACCTAAAAGTACACAAACCAGCCATAATGAATGCGCAGTGTCCTGAAACTAAAGAATACCAAGTATAATCCAAGGAAAAAAGGAAAAGGAAAACACAGAAGCAGAATGCAACAGCACCTCCTGAAAATGCTTAATTAACCTTCAAACAACAACAGCGAAGCCATGTATATCAAAATAAGAACCATAACTATGAAAATATATCAGTGAAAGAAGAAAGTTGAACCCAAATAAAATCCTTAAAAGCAAAGGATGGTATCACTATGCCGATCTTGTAGTTTTATCTGTTTTGGAAGCAGTTTAGGTTGAAAGGCGGGACATATAATTGTCCTAGGCTCGTGGCTTTTGTTCATTAGAACATCTTATAGTCATGCAATGTAGGGAGAAAAAACATGGGACAAAGCTTTGCTGAGTTTTCCAGTAACTCTAACGAATGGCACAAGGTGTGATAAACTCAGGCTGACAGCCCAAGGAGACTGCAGAAGTAACTTCCAGTGACTTGTTTCCAGATAAAACATATATCAAGACCCAGATAGATGCCCAAAGAGTCGGAACCAGGGATTCCCAGAACTTTGACATGCACATTTGCTTTCTGAGTTAAAATACGGGAGGTACATTTTACCCTTGCAGCCCAAAGGAGTAAGAAGATGAGAGCAACTTACTTTTGAGCAGGGTTGGGGAATCTATGGCCCTCCAGAAGTTGCAGAATTACATTTCCCATCATCCATGATTGTTGGCCGTGCTGGCTGGGGTTGATAGGAACTGGAATCCACCAGCAATATCTGGAGGGCTACAGGTTCCTGTATGCATTTGACAGCTTTAAACACAATCAGTCAATGAAATCGCCTAAAATTGCAGTCGACTCCTCAACATGGAAATAATAATAATAATAATAATAATAATAATAATAATAATAATAATAGTAGTAGTAGTAGTAGTAGTAGTGCTGCAAGTTTAGGCATGCAGTTGTTCCTTTGGGTCTGGTATGAAAAAGAACTTCTTAACAGTGGTCTTTCCCGCCTCTAAATTTGAACAGTAAAGGTAAAGGTAAAGGTACCCCTGCCCGTACGGGCCAGTCTTGACAGACTCTAGGGTTGTGCACTCATCTCACTCTATAGGCCGGGAGCCAGCGCTGTCTGCAGACACTTCCGGGTCACGTGGCCAGCGTGACAAGCTGCATCTGGCGAGCTAGCACAGCACACGGAACGCCGTTTACCTTCCCGCTAGTAAGCAGTCCCTATTTATCTACTTGCACCCGGGGGTGCTTTTGAACTGCTAGGTTGGCAGGCGCTGGGACCGAACAACAGGAGCGCACCCTGCCGCGGGGATTCGAACCGCCGACCATGCGATTGGCAAGTCCTAGGCGCTGAGGTTTTACCCACAGCGCCACCCGTGTCCCTAAATTTGAACAGTAGCTTTCATCAAATGCAGCATCTTAAAAAAGTGGCACTTGCTGAGTGTTAGGTGATGTGGAAATGCCTTTAAACATAGTTGCTTGGATGGTTGATGGTTAGTTGCAGTTGGAGATGCCTGAGCAAAATGTTAAAGCAGCAAGACATTACAGAGCAGCAGGTGTTAATGGTTCTAGCCTAGGGATGGCATGTTCTAGGTATGGCATGGTATAGCAGGTGTACCCTACATGTGACCAAAACTAGTGTTCTTTTTAGCTACACCGTGTCTTACCTGTGGATGGGTTGATTGCTTTGTGCCTTTCTGCTCCTTCCCTTTTCCTCACTGTGTTTGATACTTGACTAAATGGACCAGAGTACACAGCTTCCCATGCAAAAGAAGAGCTGGGCTATTTTGTTAAATATTCCCTTTTACGCTGGTAATGAGTGTTGCCTCGCAAGCCAATGAAAGTTCCAGCTTTGTACAAACCGGGGGGGTGGGGGTGGGGAGTTGGCAGTGGGAAGCCACTTCCTCTTCACGAGGTGCCCCCCAAATAGTTTTGGCTGGAACTGGTTCTCTGCCTATAAAGAAAAAGACTTTAAAGGACCTCGGCTGATCAGAGTACTAAAGGTCCCTGGGCATGCACCATAGAGCAAATTGGTGCTGAGCCTGGAAGCTCTCTCCTGTTTTTTTGGACGAAGAGCTGTGTGGGTCTGCTGTGAACACAGAGCTTAGAGGAGTGGGGGAAGAAGACGCACGTCCTCTTGAACTTTAGCCCCAGCTTGAAAGTTACTTTTTTTTTAGAAGTAAGTTGTAAGAAAAGAGAGACTTGAGAAGTAGGCACCTAGCAAATAATAATAATAATAATAAAAAGAGCCGACAGCCCGCACTCAGAGCTGAGATGTCAGATGGAGCAGGCGACGAGGAGAAGCAACCAAATGGATGTGGAGAGAAGGGAAGGGAGAGGAACCGCACCTCCCTGATCATCCTGCAGTCCGTTAACCGCAGTATTTTCACCTCTGCAGTCTCCCCCGCTGCCGAACGCATCCGCTTCATTTTGGGCGAAGACGATGACAGCCCCGCGCCACCCCAGCTCTTCACGGAACTGGACGAGCTCCTGGCTGTTGATGGGCAGGAGATGGAATGGAAGGAGACCGCAAGGTGAGTTGGCATCACTTTGTCTTTTCTGGGGGAAGGGAGAAGTTGTGGCAAGCCACGTGTTAATTTTGGGGAGCACCTTCTTCTGGAAGTTTGGGGGGTTCCACAAGTATCATTAGGACTGTAGCTCAGTGGTGGGACCTAAACTGGATAGCTCTGTTGGCAGAGCATGAAACTCTTAATCTCAGGGTTATGGGTTTGATCCCCACATTGGGACTCTGTCCTTTCCAACTTTCTGATTCTATGATCCGAGGTTCAGTTGACAGCATCTCCAGGTACAACTGGGAGAGAGACCCCTGCCTGAGTCCTGGAGGACCTCTGCTAGCCAGTTTAGGCAATGTGTGGACCAATGGTCCGACTCAGTAGAAATCAGCTTTCTCTGTCCCTTTCCTCATAATTATTCTCTGGTGGTTCTGGAAAGCTTTTCCAATAAAAAGGAACCAGAGGACTTTCCCAAGCATTTGCTGGTGAATAGAACTACTATGTTATCCTTAATTATGGGGAAGGGTCGTAGCTCAGTGGCAGAGTGTCTGCCCTGCAAACAAAATGTCGCAGGCACCTCCAGGTGGGGTTGGGATAGACATCTGCACGAAATCCTGAATTGTCACCCCCAGTCAGTGTATGTAAGCCTGAGCTAGATAGACCCAATGGTCTAAGCAGCTTCCTAACGTTCCTATCCTTTATTCAGAAGATTAGCACACAAACAACACATACACAGTGATCTTTGCACGGCACTTGTCAGAAAGGTGATTGAGTTATAACATCATTAATTCATATTAATTCATTAATTCATATTAAAACCATCTGTGCTTAAAAAACAAATGTCAAATATAGTTCCTCTATCTATCTATCATCTATCTATCTATCTCTATCATCTATCTATCTATCTATCTATCTATCTATCTATCTATCTATCTATCATCTATCTATCTATCTATCTAGTGTAGTGGTTATTATATAGGATCTCAGCCAGGAAGTCTCACCTCAACCATTAACTTGCAAGATTCTTTTTAGGCAAGGTGCTATTTCTCAGCCTCAGTTTCCCCTGTGCAGTATGGGGGCAGTAGCACTGTCCTACCTCACAGGGTTGTTTTTAGGGTTGAGGTAGCTGAAGTGATACAAAATGAAGTGTTGTTGTTGTTGTTATATCCCTTGGCTTGAATAATTTCCGACTGAAATCATTTTAAAGTAACAGAATATAGCACCCAAAATGCGGTCATTCAAACATTTAGATATTTTCATTTTGGGATTAGCATGAATTAAACACTTTGAGGTTGGGTTTTAATTTGCATGCACACTGTGCTTAGTTTCTTATTAGACTCATAAAAAACATTTTTGGTCACTTACGAGAAATGCGTGCAGATAAATTGTGCTGGAGTGATGACACAATTCAACAATAATTAATCAAGTCACCATCGTGTAATCAACCTAGCCGTAATTCCAGTGGAGCTTGCTTGAGCGAGACTCTGCTGTGACATTACAATAACCGACCCCTTTCCTCAAATCTAGACTTCTGTTTTTCTCTTCGAGTGCTGAGTCATTGTTTTCCAAGGCCCTCCACCTCTCCCCCCACACTTTTAAATATTAGCTCTTCGGTTTTCTCTTGTTATCAGAGCCCTGCTAATCTTTCCCCCCACCGTCTGTCTTAAGAGCTTCTTACTGTGTTTGGATATATTAATCCCTACCTGTGAATATCACCTTGTTCTCCCTAACTCTGGGATTCCTACTTCTCAAGGGAAGCTCCATGCATGAGGATTACCGAGTGGGACACTGGTCTTACACACCAATCCTAACCCGAAATCTAACCCTCTGACAACAAACGCATGCCATGGGGCTGTCGCAAAATGTGTGTGCCTTTTTCTACACCAGTATACACTTTTCTAGGAAAACTGATTCAGACAGGTTTCCCAGATGAATGTACACTGGATGATTAATGTATGTGGACAGGAGGCGGGCAGGTGTGGAGGATTCCCTGGTCCTGAATGGGGTAACTGTGCCCCTGAAGGACCAGGTGCGCAGCCTGGGAGTCATTTTGGACTCACAGCTGTCCATGGAGGCACAGGTCAAATCTGTGTCCAGGGCAGCTGTTTACCAGCTCCATCTGGTACGCAGGCTGAGACCCTATCTGCCTGCGGACTGCCTCGCCAGAGTGGTGCATGCTCTGGTTATCTCCCGCTTGGATTACTGCAATGCGCTCTACGTGGGGCTACCTTTGAAGGTGACCCGGAAACTACAACTAATCCAGAACACGGCAGCTAGACTGGTGACTGGGAGCGGCCGCAGAGACCACATAACACCGGTCTTGAAAGACCTACATTGGTTCCCAGTACGTTTCCGAGCACAATTCAGTGTTGGTGCTGACCTTTAAAGCCCTAAACGGCCTTGGTCCAGTATATCTGAAGGAGCGTCTCCACCTCCATCGTTCTACCCGGACACTGAGGTCCAGCACCAAGGGCCTTCTGGCGGTTCCCTCACTGTGAGAAGCCAAGTTACAGGGAACCAGGCAGAGGGCCTTCTCGGTAGTGGTGCCTTCCCTGTGGAACACCCTCCCACCAGATGTCAAAGAGAACAACAACTACCAGTCTTTTAGAAGACATCTGAAGGCAGCCCTGTTTCGGGAAGCTTTTAATGTTTGATGTATTATAGTATTTTAATATTCTTTTGGAAGCCGCACAGAGTATTATTATTATTATTGTTATTGTTATTATTATTATTATCATGTGGCCATACTTTCCATGCAGGGAAATGTTGATGTTGCATGATGTGATCATAAAACGAGGAGCTCATACTTTTGTTTCTGTTAGGTTAAGAGCAGGCATAGGCAAACTCAGCCCTCCAGATGTTTTCGGACTACAACTCCCATCATCCCTGACCACTGGTCCTGTTAGCTAGGGATGATGGGAGTTGTAGTCCCAAAACATCTGGAGGGCCGAGTTTGTCTATGCCTGGTTTAGAGGCACTTTGCTCTGAAGAAGAAGAAGAGTTTGGATTTGATACCCCGCTTTATCACTACCCTAAGGAGTCTCAAAGTGGCTAACAATCTCCTTTCCCTTGCTCCCCCACAACAAACACTCTGTGAGGTGAGTGGAGCTGAGAGACTTCACAGAAGTGTGACTAGCCCAAGATCATCCAGCAGCTGCATGTGGAGGAGCGGAGACGCGAACCCGGTTCCCCAGATTACGGGACTACCGCTCTTAACCACTACACCACACTGGCTCCCTCTGGGTTGCTTTGCATTAGATAATCTGCTTCCCCCCTCCCCCCCAAAAAAATTGCACTTGTCCTACACATCTCTAGCTTTCCCAAAAGACTAGCCAGTTTTGCACGTTGCATAAAAATGGCCTTTTAAATGTGTTTGTTGTAGGGGAGTTATTGGTTGGTTTTTGTTTTTATTGTGCATTTTGTATTCTCATTTTGTGTTTTTCTGTTATGAACTGCCCTGGGATCTTCAGATGAAGGGCACTATGCAAATTTAAATAACAACAGCAATGAGGTTAATAAAAAATGAAAGAGAAAACTTATAAATTCCTCACAGCTGATTCAGAGGTGAAAGAGGAGAGACCCTTAGATCAATTAAATCACTGTGTTGATTATCAAAAACTTCATATAGATGCTGTTTTTTTGGTAAATAATCTTTTAAAATAAATTTAAAGAGAAAATACCAGTATTGAAACACCTTTTTTAAAAAAACATATATAAAAGGGCAGCTTTTGAAAAAGACAACAAAATATTGTTAAGTACAGAAAAAGCAAAGGGTACTCATAAAGGGCATGTTGTATACAGTTCCTTTAAAGAAGAATGAAGCATCATACATTGGATTCACATATTGGTATACAGAAAAGTGGGGAGGAGAGAGGAGACAGGGGGATGCAAGATTCATACAGGTGACTTTTCAGATATTGAACTTACAGCTGAATAAATGAAGCTACCCCTCTGATTCCTTATTCCTCACTCAGAAGCACACCAATTAAAAAATTGGTCCTGTCTTGTTTATCTACCTATTTTAAAACTGAGTGAATGCCTCTCTTCTCCCAAGTTCCCACACACAATTGTGATTGGTCTTGCAATGCAAAATTTCATAAGAAATAAAGTGAATTCAGTTTCCCAAGGCCATCCCTCAGGGTATCCAAAGCTAAACAGATCTGGATTTTGTACCCTCCCCGAAATGGATACTTTTAAGAGAAAATGTTTTAGGGAGAACACTTCCTTTTAATCCTAATCTAGCCATCTAACAACAAACACAATCATACCCATTGCAGTGGTACCTCGGGTTACAGACGCTTCACATTACAGACTCCGCTAACCCAGAAATAGTACCTCAGGTTAAGAACTTTACCTCAGGATGAAAACAGAAATCGTGCGGTGGCAGTGGGAGGCCCCATTAGCTAAAATGGTACCTCAGGTTAAGAGCAGTTTCAGGTTAAGAGCAGGTTAAGAACGGACCTTCAGAACGAATTAAGTTCTTAACCCGAGGTACTACTGTATTACGCAAAACAAACAGAATTAGGAATTCTTAATATACTACAACTTTTAAAACGATACTGAAACTAATTATATGGTGTGAGCCAGTGGCGTAGCGTGGGTTGTCAGCACCCGGGGCAAGGCAAGTAATTTGCGCCCCCTAACCCGTGGATTTGCGCCCCCTAACCTGTGGATTTGCCCTAACCCCAGATGTTGCGCCCGGTGCAGCCGGCCCCCCCTGCACCCCCCATGCTACGCCACTGGTGTGAGCTGAACTGTTGTGGATTTGAAACAAGCTACATGAGATGTAATTTGGAAACAACAAAGTTTGCCAGACTAAAGATTTTGTGAACAAGAGTTAGGGTGGCCAAAGACTAACCATGGCACGCCTGATAGTTTGCACTTAGAGAGGGCTCCTGTTCGAGAATGATTTCCAAATGTTTCTGTACAGCTGCTGAAAAAGTTTCAGTAGCCAGAGGAGTAAAAAGCTTTTGGCTTATGATGAAAGAAACATCTGGTATTCTTACTACAATCCACTGCCACAAAATGTACTGATGGTCACCAACTTGGATGGCTTTAGAATAGGATTAGACAAATTTATGGAAGATGGAGGCTCTGAGTGGCTGCTATCTTACACCTCCAGCAATGCAATCACCATGTCTCTAAATAACAAGTGCTGGGGCTCAAGAGCAGGAGAGGGCGATTGCCATTATGTCCTCCTTTCAGGCTTCCACCGGAATCTGGTTGGCAATTTTGAGAACGGGATGCTGAACTAGGTGACCTCTGACTTGCTCTAGCAGGGCTCTAGCCGTTGCTACGTTATGCAGAGAAATTGTATTTTACCTCCGTAAAGGGGTGAGCACTATATTTCTGTGTGACAGAAGTACAGTGATACCTCTGGTTATGAACTTAATTCGTTCCGGAGGTCCGTTCTTAACCTGAAACTGTTCTTAACCTGAGGTACCACTTTAGCTAATGGGGCCTCCCACTGCCGCCGTGCCATTGTCATGCGATTTCTGTTCTCATCCTGAAGCAAAGTTCTTAACCTGAGGTACAGTGGTACCTCGGGTTACAGACGCTTCAGGTTACATAAGCTTCAGGTTACAGACTCCGCTAACCCAGAAATAGTACCTCGGGTTAAGAACTTTGCTTCAGGATGAGAACAGAAATTGTGTGGCGGCGGCGCGGCGGCGGCAGTGGGATGCCTTATTAGCTAAAGTGGTACCTCAGCTTAAGAACAGTTTCAGGTTAAGAATGGACCTCCAGAACGAAATAAGTTCTTAACCCAGGTACCACTGTACTATTTCTGGGTTAGTGGAGTCTGTAACCCAAGGTACCACTGTACAGAAAAGGTGCTAGATGTGAACCTGTGTCTGCGACACACCTGCGATTTTTACAGAAATGTTTGGATCAGAGATTTATGTTTTTAAAATCAACTGTCATGGTCTGCCTCTGTTTCTGAGACCAAGATTAGGCTTGAGTTTTAAGGCTTTAAATGAATTCTGCAGGCATCTTCCAAGTAAAATACATTTTTCTCCACCATCTGTGGCACAAGGCAGGTTTTGAGCCCTGTATTGTCTGCCTTGAAGCCCATAAAATTCTCCAGGGAGCTGGTTTGTGTACTGTAAACCAAACTTTGGTTTGGTGAGGCTGTGTGAACATGCAGGTTCTCAGAGAGATTCCTCTCCAGTCCTTTTTGCTACACTGCACCATGGTTTGACTTAACACACTGGTCTTGTGGTTAAGGCCTCTCCAGAATAACTGTGAGTTTGTTCTGCTAAGGTTTGTTCTTGTCTACAGCTCATGGTCATTAAAGTATGATCTTAACAAACGACTTTTGGTTTGGACAACATGCTAAATTAAATGAAAAAGAAGATTGCCAAGAGAAAGGACCGAAATGAACGTTTCCTTATTTTTCTGCTGTGAAAAATGATTGACTGGGAAAATTTGTCTGGACAAACCGTGGTGGGGTGGGGGGTGGGGAAGCAAAGTCTTGTCTTTATCTTCTTTTAGCTGTAGATTAGGACAAAGGGCAAATGCCGTCTGGTGTAGAAACATTTTTCCACACCTAAGGGCTGTTTCATAAGCACAGGCAAGGGTTGTAAACTCCTGACCTGTAGGGTAGCTTCCTTAGCTTTTAATAGCTGTGTGTGGGAGAGAGGCCCAGCAGGTGCATAATTAAATCTCCACCACCGTAATGATGGCAGGTTGAGCAGCTGCTGGATTTCGCATTAAATCAACACAGTTTTGAAGGGAGATCATGCAGGAGCTGGAAAGAGCGGGTTGCATGGGGCTCCCTTGAGACATTGCGTCAAACCACAATTAAATAAACTTTACTTTGTCTTGAAGATCTGAATAGACAAACCACGATTTGCAGTTGGCTGGCAAACCATAATAAAAAAATTCTGTTTATTATTTATCAGGCCTTATTTTATTTCCCCTCCATAATATACCGGTAGTCAAATCACCCCCAAAATACAAAACAATAATTTAGATTACAAAATAAAAAGCCCATACAGTGGTACCTCAGGTTACATATGCTTCAGGTTACATACGCTTCAGGTTACATACTCTGCTAACCCAGAAATAGTACCTCAGGTTAAGAACTTTGCTTCAGGATGAGAACAAAAATCATGCTCTGGTTGCGCGGCAGCAGCAGGAGGCCCCATTATCTAAAGTGGTGCTTCAGGTTAAGAACAGTTTCAGGTTAAGAACAGACCTCCGGAACGAATTAAGTACTTAACTTGAGGTACCACTGTAAATGACATAGCTAACATGAATTCCTTCATACTTTAAAAAAAGAATTGTTTCTTTAAATTATTGATCTAAATTATGGAAAAACTATACTGTGCATTCAAAAATATTGTGTTACTTTTACAATAATCAACAAAAATAACAAAATTTCCTCCCTTTGAAGCCCTAGTTGCTGGTTTATGCTCACAGTGGTTTTGTGTGTTGTCTGAATGTGTGTTACTGCCATTGCTCTACTTCTGGGGGCTGTTACGGATTGGAGTGCTGAACAGATGGGAAAGGGAAGCAGACAAACAACTAAACCTTGGCTTGACACATACATTTGGAAGCTCAAACCATCAGCCGCTTTCTCAAAGTATGCTTACTTGCAAACCTTGGTTTGGTGTGATGTCTCAGTTGGGGCAATGACCTGGTTTGCATGAACGGCAAGCCAAATCATGGCTTATCAGGACTGTGAAAAAGTGACCCCTGCTGTAGAGGATCTCACAGCTGCTTTGCTTCCAGCCTATTTACTAATGCAGTGAACTTAGCCAACTTAACCAAACTGGGACTTGTGGCTTAAGCTCTCAGTAACCATGAGATGTCAAGATCTGCTAGAGCCAAAATTGCAAGCTGAGATCCTAGATGACTGTAGTTGGTTTAAAATAATGGTTCCCAAAGTAGGCAGTGGAATTACGATGGGGGCACTAAGGAGCTAGGGGGCGGTCGTGGTGGGGTGGCTGGAAATGTAAACAGACTTTGAAAAGCTGGTATCACTGGATCATTTTTGTTGAATTCATTACACCAAATAGCTTTGAATTGGGTTTTGAATAAATGTGCAATTAATTCTTATTGTTTTGAATTTTATTGTGTTATCCTCTTCCTTAGTGGGTCATGCAAACTGTTATTCTGAATAATTCTTTTTATAAGGGTAGGGGCATTGAGGATGGAGTGGGTGGTGGCCCAAAAATCTTTGGGGACCACTGATTTAAACGATAAACATCTCTGGTATGGAGGTGAAATTGAACTGAGTGGTTTCTTTTTTGAATGAATAAAGACCCCTGTTCATTCGAGACCGAAGAAGCAGTCACGAAAAGCACAGCTGGAATCGGAAAAGACGCTCCCCGTAATCCATTTGGGCTCCACAGTTGCAGAGATATTTGTGGCTCATGCGTAGCAAATAATAAACAGCGGGAGGCATAGAGACATGTTTCTAGTGGATACTCTGCCTTTCTGAAACTGCCTTTCCCTATATCATAGAATCATAGAATTGGAAGGGACCCTGAGGCCCATCTAGTCCATTCCCCGGAATGCTTATGTTTTGTGTGCAAATCAAACTGTATTGTATTTCCGCAGGGGTTGGTTTATAACCAATATTCAAAACCAACTTTAATCCAGTGGGAAGATGAGAGATAGTATTGTGTTGATGGATGGTTTTTCTGTTTCTTTGCCTTGGAGCTAACTGCTGCTCCTAATGCATACCCAGTTGTTTGTTTGTTTTAATTAAACAAATGCTAATTTATATCATTTTAAATTGATGTTATCCATATTTTATTTGGTATTTTAAAGTCTGTCAGGCCAAAAATTGGTATATAAATAAACCATAACATGTAAAAAGAGGAGGGAAAGAACTTTGCAATACTTTTGAGACTAATGGATTTGTTGTGGCACGACTATCTTAATGAAATATCTGATGATGTAGATGCTTGTTCTTGAAAGCTCACAAAGCAGCACTTCTTTGTAAGTTCATCCTTACAAACTCTCTCTCAACTCTCTCTCTCTCCCCCCCTCTCTCTCCCTCTCTCTCGCAGGTGGATAAAGTTTGAGGAGAAAGTGGAACAGGGTGGAGAGAGGTGGAGCAAACCACACGTTGCCACGTTGTCCCTTCACAGCTTGTTTGAGTTGAGGACGTGTATAGAGAAAGGGTCGATCATGTTGGATCTGGAGGCCTCGTCGCTCCCTCAGGTAGTAGGTAGGTGCTTTCGAACGCAGTGCTCTGGACTGTTCTACATCGCAAGAACCGACCTGGTCCGTTGAATGGGATGTTGGATCTGGGCATGTGTTTCTTTTACACTGCTTTTCAGCAAAACAGCAACAGCAAACAAGCTTCCTGGGGTGGGTTGCAGATCAATGAAACCAATATGGCCTCTACCGTCAGACTTACAATCTAAAAAGACGTAACACAAAAGGAAAATGGATTTTGAGGAAGGAGGAAACAAGCAAACTTGGGTACCAGTTCTTTTAGGTGCAAGTTAATTGCCTACCGGGATGGAAACAGTTCAAGGAGAGGATGACCCAAAAGTTGCTGGGGTCTCAGCTGTCTTGATAGTGTGCCAGTTCATCTCGTTCAGTATCTTGGATAGCCTACAAGATAGGAGTGGGGGATCTGTAGTCCCCTAGATGTTGTGGGACTCCTAACTCCCACTTTGTATACCTCTTGGTAGTTTCTCTGTTGTTGTTGTTTAAGGATTAAAACACAACAGTGTAGAGCAGCGGTTCTCAACTTGTGGGTCCCCAGATGTTGTTGGACTACAACTCCCATCATCCCTGAGCTCTGGCCTTGCTAGCTGGGGGTGATGGGAGTTGTAGTTCAACAACATCTGGGGACCCACAGGTTGAGAAAGGTTGGTGTAGAGGGTTAGGCAATATACCAATCCATTGTCCCAAACTGGTTTGAAGTCCATATCATGATACCAGTTTCATAATTTTTGACCTGGCAATATATCGCACATCATGATGTGTATGTGAGTGATGCAAAAAAAAACCCCTTAAGCCAGCCAGTGCTTCTACAAAGCGCCACCCTTATTTCAGACATCGTGATATATCAGTATATCGCAGTGTTTCGCTGGTGGTATATCGTGATATTGAAAACCAGATACTGCCCAGCCCTATGCGTACACATACCAGCCTACTCTGAAACCATTTTTTATTTTTGTTTACATTGATTTACTCCTTTTCTTCTCTCCCTGCCTCCCCCTCTCCCCAAATCCTCGTGTTTGCAGAGATGGTTGTTGACAACCAGATCGAGACAGGCCTGTTGAAGCCAGAAATGAAGGACAAGGTCACTTACACCCTGCTCAGGAAGCATCGCCACCAGACCAAAAAATCCAACCTGCGCTCCTTGGCCGACATCGGGAAGACTGTCTCCAGTGCAAGTAGGATGTTTACCAACCCAGATAATGGTAATGCAGAAGCCAGTGGGCTTTGGCCTTCCGGTAGAGACCCACCGAAACCCTGCTCCCAACTAACTCCATCACCATCTCATGGCAACGCATCTAACCCCACGAGTAGAGTAGCAGACCATACTGACGGATGTATCAGTTATGGGCTCTGAAGGCTTCTTAATGCTGTGGCGCATCGCTCTAACCATATCTCCGTGGGCTAACTGAGAAGAGACATGGGCGCGCTTCGTTTTCGTTAGTCTGCTTTAGTCAGTCACTTCGGTAAAGCACCTGGCGTGGCACACGCACAAAACGCACAACACAAACAACGATGCGTCCTCCGGAATAGAATCGGGCTGCATCCCCACAGCAGCTCATCCCGTTTCCCTGACATTTAATTTATCTCATTATATTGGAACGTTCATGTGGTGTAAAATCAACTTCCAGAAATGGAACACAAGCTTGGCACTCATTTCCATGTTATTGGCTTCCAGGGAAAAAAAATCTGTTTGCAAACAATGTGGAATTGAGTGCTAACCTTGCACTATGTCCCACTATATTCCCGGGAGTGGCTTTTATGTCACACGAAAGCTGAAATAGAAGGTGGAAATTAGCAGTTAGGGAAACGTCAGGAAAATGGGAATGAACTGCCACACGAATGCAGCCTATGACACATTGAGCTATCTAGAATGTGTTAGACTGTAATGGCGGGTGAAAATTGTCCCGAAGTCATTTTGAGTGTTGGTGTGCAAAATAGCAGAAGGGCTGTGTAATAGTCCTCTGTGAGCAGGGGTGACTCACCCATGGTCCTCTGGATATTGTAGGACTCCAGCGCCCATCATCCCCACCAGCATGGTCCATGATCAGGGATGATGGGGGTTGTAGTCCAGCAATATCCAGAGGACAGGTCCCACCCCAACCCCCCAGCTCCAGAGGCTTTTGTTAGAATTCTGGGAAACAAGTGCATTAACTAGAAAGAGAGGGATCCTCTCTAGTCCTCAAGGATAAAAGTTCAACAGTTCAATAGTGTTGAGTTGAGAAACTTCAGAAACGCAAAAAAGGTGAACAGAGCAATCATCAGCTATATTACTACAGGGGTACCTCGGTTCTCGAATACGATGTGTTCCGGAAGCCTGTTTGGCTTACAAAACATTCAAAAACCGAGACACTGCTTCCCATTGGTTGCAAGAGCTTCTTGCACTCAGTGGAAGTTGCGTCGCATATTTGGGTTCCGGAAAAACATTCGAAAACGGAAGCATTTACTTTCGGGTTTTCAGCGTTCGAGAACCGAAACATGGAACAATGGAGGTGTATGGGAACCTAGGTAACACTGTTTCCGAAATCTCATGATTGAGGGATGTTGTCTATTGTGGGGATTAGCATTGTTTAAGGCTGTGCATCCCTACTGGGATGAGAGGGGACTTTTCTTGCTTCTCAACATGCGAGGGAAAAATAATCTGAGTGAAGAAAAGAGGGAGAGAACCACTAAGGCCAAGAATCATGGATTCTCATATGATCTCAACAAAACTTGCAACGTGAATATTCATCCCCCCCCACACTTTATTATTCCAAGAAGCGCTCCTTCTTGGAATGCAGGTGGTAAGTTGCATCTTTTTAATAAAAAGTACTTGGCACAAGGCTGCGATAAGCAAAATGTTTTATCTGTTGGGGAAATTCCTCTTGGTAAGTATACAAAGCAGCCTTCTTCAGCCTGGTTCCTCCATCCAGATGATTTGGACAATATTTCCTACCAGCACAGATGTACCAGCTGAGCCAGATGATGGGAATTGTACTCCAAAACATCTGGAAGGCACCAGGTTGAGGAAGGCTGATTTAGAGAGAGTGGAGACAGGTATTTCTGGCTTCAGTGTGATGCACTCTGCAGAAGCCAGAGCCAGTTGTTGTGAACCTTCTTAAATTCTAACACTGCAAGTGGCGTAAGAGCTCTCAATGCAAAGAACAGAAAATAATGAATTGCATGTAAAAAAAATAATGAGCATGCTGGGGAGAAATCTTCCAAAATAGTCTGCTCTTATATGCTACTTTTCTACGAGGAAATTACAATGCATGGGATTATTGAGTATTTTACTATTGAACTTCCCATCTGCAGACTTTAGTGGGGTAGACCTAACATGGCAGCATAATATGATTGCTGCGAATGTGCAGATTGGCTGTTGGACTTCAGTTGACCTGGCTTGTTGAACCATAGCATGATCTGAGCCTTCTTAAGATCCATACTTTAGAAAGCAAGGTGGCTTTTAAGTCCGTGCCCTACCATTCATTTTCTAGTGGATATTAAGAGCCTTAGGGCACAATCCTATGCACACTTTCCTGGAGAGTAGGCCCCCATTGAGCCCAGTGGGGCTTATTTATGAGCTGCCGAAGAGAGAGGCTTCTCTCTAGCAAAGAAATGCAGCAAGCTCATTCAGGAGGCAGACTCAGCCCTTCCACTCATTTTTGCGGGCTCATTTAGTCTGTTCTTGCAGAGTTGATGCAAGGATCACAAGATTATGCATGTGAAAGGTTTGGAACAGTCTGAAGTGCTTCGCAGCAATGTGTTGCCAAGAGCATGCATACAGGTGTGGAGCAGACACCTGCTTTGCACGTAAATGGAAGGCACACAGAAAAACATCCTGCACTTAAACCTGTGGCCTTCCACAAGTAGACTGAGCAACAAGGAATTACATACCCCAACAGATGACACAAGGGTGAAGCAAAATGTTGGGCTCAAACCTAAAATCATATGCATGTTACCAAGTATCTGATAAGAATAATTTAAAGTAGCAAATCAGAGAAAAACAAATAATCGTGTAATTGGTAAAATGGATAGTCAACCTTCCACGAGTACATCATCTCTCAATCTTGTTCAACAACCTAGTACAAAACTTTTGAATTCTTTATACAGTATACTGTTTATTAAATTCCTGGCCCATCATGAGTGCTTGGTTTTATTTATTCATTTTTATTCATGTGTACAGCTCCATTAATGTGCATGGTCAATAAACATAGATCAATAAAATGGATAAATGAAACACTCATGCAAAACGCAACATTTGATCAAAATTTACCATTGAAAGCCAGTCCTCCAAAGGGAACAAGTTGCAATCCTCACTCCCCAGTGTAGATAACCCTGATTTGCATGATGACTTGCTCATGTTTTAGAGAAAAAGAAAGCATTCCATGTGGTTCATTCCATATATGTTGATTTAGAATATTCTATAAATTTGTTGGCATGCAGTGATTTGTAGTAAATCTGTTGCTAAAGCTATGCTGTTTAAATCTGCATCCAATAATTGATTCTGACTGTAAATCTTATGTCCAAGCAAGTGGGGCTTTCATTGAATTATGTGGCTAGCACTGTGTACTTTTTGTCTCTAGAGGTGGTTTCACCCATCTCGTGTTTGGCTACTCTGTCCAATGATAAGTGCTTCTGTTAATTTTCTTATTAATGTAAATTAGTAGCATCTTTAGCAAGGCTTAAGGGACGCAGGTGGCGCTGTGGGTTAAAGCCTCAGCACCTAGGACTTGCCGATCGAAAGGTCGGCGGTTCGAATCCCTGCGGCGGGGTGCGCTCCTGTCGTTCGGTCCCAGCGCCTGCCAACCTAGCAGTTCGAAAGCACCTTTGGGTGCAAGTAGATAAATAGGGACCGCTTACTAGCGGGAAGGTAAACGGCGTTCCGTGTGCTGCGCTGGCTTGCCAGAGCAGCGAGTCACGCTGGCCACGTGACCCGGAAGTGTCTGCGACAGCACTGGCTCCCGGCCTATAGAGTGAGATGAGCGCACAACCCTAGAGTCTGGCAAGACTGGCCCGTACGGGCAGGGGTACCTTTACCTTTTACCTTAGCAAGGCTTGTCTTCATTGTCTACATTCAACTGTTTCAGAAGCCAACTTGCTGCAATGCTATCCAGAGCAGCCCTAATAGGGAAGGATGGGAAATTAAATAACTTATGGTTTATCTGAAGTGAGACAAACCATGAGCCTGGGTCCAGATAACATGTTAAGCTTAGCTCCAGGTACCATGGCAGCAGCAGGACTGGGAGAGGAATGCAGTGGTCATATTTTCCTCTCTTAGTGCAGTTATGCTAAGCTATAGTTTGGCTTAGCGTGACGTGCAAATTATGTCATTGGCAGATTCATGTGGAGGAATGCATTCTCTAAGTTGTTCCCACTTCACTGATGGGAAGCTGAGGTCTGGGAGAAAGTTGCTTGCTGCAGCGAGTCCATAGCAGAAGCTGGGTTCCGCATTCCTCACACCCCAAACCCCACCTCTTTGTCCTTTAGACCCCATAGACACTAGAATATTTTATTTGTTAAGAAAGTATTTCAATGCAAATGTTCGAAAACTGGCTCCATCTCCAAATGCTGCTCTTTGCCAATCCTTGTGTTTGGTTCCAGGCTGCTTTGCATATACTGCATATTTCTGCATGCTCCATATTTCCCGCAGATCTTTTCCTTGGTGCTTTTGTTTGCTATAGTGCAAACAATAAACTCGGTGCTGTAAACAGATGAACAAGATGGGAGGGGAGTGAGGGATTTGACGTAGCAGGTGATTTGGGGAGGGAGAAGATTTAAAGAACTGCTTTAACGAGCATTTAGATTTTGGTTTAAGGATATTTTTACTCAAGTGGGACTTTCATTGGGCTGGTTCTCACCATGGTTTAGTGTTACATGCACAAGCTAGAATAAACCTAGGGTTGCCATATGTCCGGAATTTCACGGACATATTCGGAATGCTGCTGTCTCTTACAGTGTCTGGGTGGAAATCGGTAAAATGTCTGGGAAAACCCAGACGTTTGGCAGCCCGTGTTGGCTCAAAAATTGCCTTTTTCTCTGTGATTTTGAGCAACAAACTTTTCACTGTTTGAAATATGGCAACAAGCTCCTCTTGTGTGGAATGACCAGTAGGAGAATCTTCTGATGCTTAGAAGAATGTTGGCTGTTTGTTCTGTATGAACCAGAGACTGAGGTTTAAAACAAACTCTAGTCCTTTTATAAACAAACGGACTACAATACCTGTGTTTTGCTGATTCCAACAACCCTTCAGTTTCTTATTTTGTATGTAACAACAACCCAGGATTAGTGAAACCAAATTCTGGCTGCACAGGAGGAAGAGAGGGGAGTTCAGAAGCTCAAGACTTTGCTCAGGCTGGTTCTAGCTTGTGCACAACAGTGCAGCTAAACCAGTGTTTCCCAACCTTGGGCCTCCAGCTGTTTTTGAACTACAATTCCCATCATCCCTGACCACTGGTCTTGCTAGCTAGGGATGATGGGAGTTGTAGTCCAAAAACAGCTGGAGGCCCAAGGTTGGGAAACACAGAGCTAAACCATGGTTTAGTGTTACATGTGAACCGGCTCGTTGAATTATGTGGGCATGCTCAGTAGCACTGGTAGAACAGCTGCTAGCAAGGAGAGGCAGAGATAATTCAGAAAAGGCTTGCTGAGACTCTGGTGGGCATTGAACCAAGAATCTGAGGGTCTGGGAACAGAACTAGTGAGTTACTGTGGACTCAGGCATCATAGTCCTTTGGGACATGACTGGCCCTGTGGGTCTTCTGTATTGGCCATGGCAGTGTTTCTCAAACCTGGATCTCCAGCTGTTGTTGGATGACAACTCCCATCATCCCTGGCTGGCAGGATCAATGGTAAGGGATGATGGGAGCTATAGTTCAACAACACCTGGAGGCTCAAGTTTGAGAAACACTGGGCTATGGTATGGCAGGTGAACAGAGCAGGGCTTTGGGTTGGTGTAGTTCAGTCAGAAGCCAACAGCTTGAGCTATTGACCTAAGGACTTTCCTCCCAAATATTGATTCAAAGAGAAATGCCTTAAAAGCTGAGCTAGTAGCCATGCTAGAAATTATTTTTGATCTCACTGCTACCCTTTAGGATAAAACAATGGTTTGGAAACATAGAATTTATCATTTATTCATCACAATTACTTATTCAAACTGAAAGTTGTTAAAAATGCATTGAGGCTGCAGTTGACAATAAGGCGTGTTGTTGGACAGAACAATGGGGTTTTATTCCTTTAAGTGTCATTCAGGTTATTCCAAGTAGCTGAATAATGCACCAGCAGAGTTTAGAAATAATGAGAGTAGAAAGAGGAACAGAAGGGGAAGGGTGTGTGAAAGAAGAGACGTTTCTCCAGGTGATGCAAATCATTGGCACGTTATTTGAAGTGTTACAAAATGGAATACATTCTCTCCCCCCCCCATTGTTGTGCATGTTGGCTGTGAGTAACAGCCAAAGAAACCGCTTTCTTTCTAAATTCTTCAGATGTTTTCTGGGTACCGTTGTCAGGATGCGGGTGACAATCCAGTGACAGCAAAAGATTTGGCCACCTGTTATGACCTTTGGTTGCAGAATTTGCTGTGGTTATTTACAAAGCGTTAAGCCACAGAAGCATTCGACAACCTCTTCTTTGCTACATTGGACGTAGGTGTTCAGAAGGAATCCCATTCACAGAATACTAGAGTTGGAGGGACCCCAAGGGTCATCTAGTCCAACCCTCTGCAATGCAAGAATCTCAGCTAAAGCATCCATGACAGATGGCTGGTCATCCAACCTCTGCTTAGAAACCTTCAGGGAAGGAGAGTCCACAACCCCCTAAGGGAGCCCATTCCACTGTCAAACATCTCTTACTGTCAGGAAGTTCCTCCTGATGTTTAGTCGGAATTTCCTTTCTTGTAACTTGAATCCATTGGTGGAAAAATAGGACTTTGCAGCCCATGTAATACATTCATAATTGGGCAAACTAGGAGTATTTACACTTGGACAGCAAAACTTGCATAGACATTCACTTCCAATGTCATGGAAAAACACTATTTCTCCCACAAACGACTATTTCAGCTTCAAGTGAGTGATCTTGCTTAATGTCCTTACATCTCTACATAGATCAACAAACAGGCTGCCATAAGTGAGCATTTAACCTGAAGTGCTCAGGTATCAACTCACATCAACCCCAGCCAGCATGTGTCTGTTTGATTGCTAGGATACAATACGGTACTGACACTCAGAGGTAATATTTTTCAGCCTAGGGCTCATTCCCAGAGGTTAGCTTCCAGATCTTCATTAGTGGGGGGGGGGGGGAATATTTGTATGAATGAGCCACCCAATTGAACTACTTTCCTGGATTGAATCTGAGTAAGTTGTGGCGATTATGTGTTTGCACCTTGCCATTTCCTCTTTCTCCTTTTATTTTGAATATTTAATATCTGTATATACATACGTCCTTCACATTTGAGGGTTGCAAAAGGGCAAATATTACAAAACACTGAAAATGCACTCAGTGCCACATTTTCTACAAGTGCACGGCTGCCAAAAGCTGGCAAAACCTGGTGTTGGAACGGTCTCTAATTGACCTGCGGATGTGCGTAGCTCTCTGTGGTGTGTTAACACGAGTGTCTGAATGCTTTTCTGTCTTAACTCTCTTGCTTCTGCAGTTGCTTTGGCCTTTCTCTTTCTCCTCTGCCTTAACTCTGCTGTCTTCCTCCTCCTCCTCTTCCTCCTCCTTGCTGCTGCTCTCAAATGCGTGCTCTTCCTCCTGCTTGCGACTCTAAAGCCCGCAGCCCGCTTGAGAGTTCTGTGCCCTGCCTAGCAACCCGCACGTTGGATGATGAAATCCGGGTGCAGCGCAGCCCCAGCGTGGGATGGCTAAGTAAGTGGATGACGGGAAGGGAGTTACACTTTCCAGGGAAACGGTGTGCATGAAGGGGGTGTGGTTGTGTGTTGGTGGATCAGTCTGGAGATAATGACGACATGCAAAAATGGTGGCCTTCCAAGGAATTAAAGCTCCAAAATACATCTTTGACCCTATCCTTGAACCAGAAACTCTATGAGCTAAGATGCTTCTGCTACTGCAGACTGTAAGGATAGGGGAATGCAACAACATTTGACTGGTGGTTGCTACAAGCCAGTCTTCCACTGCTCTCCAAACTCGCTGACCTCAAGGACTCAGAACTAGACGTTCAGGTAGAACTGCCCTTGGCTGTAGCCTGGCCCCAAACCTCTGTTTGACGTCGTATCTATGTCAGTTCAGTGCAGGACAGCTGCAAAGTTGGGGTGTAGGACCTGATTTCCATGATGCTACTGAACTGAACTCACCAGGCTTCCTAGCGTACATGACCTGATAATTTCCTTGCAGTGGTGGTGAAGGTTTATCACATATGAAGAGTTACAATTCAGTTTCCCTCACTAATGCAGTGATTAAGGATGTTGCCTGGTGACTTGTTAATTCTATCAAGTCATGCCTGAATAGAGGTTTGGACCATATCTCAACCCAACATGAAAGCACTTCAGGCACAAGCTCTGTAATTGATTTTACCCTCTTATTTATTTTGCATGTTCTTTATGTGACTCAGAGGCAAAAACAAGCTGAAGATGAAGGGAACCTCCATGAGATTATTATGTACCCCCAGCTAAGCAAATTAGGATGTTTTTGTTTTACTCTCATGTTGATCCTAAATCTGTAGCTCAGTCAACATGCTGCTTCTTGCATCATCTTCAGTTAGGAGAGTGAGCAAATCTTTCATCCGTTCTTTCTATCAACTTTTTGTCCAGATTTACATAAAAGTTCAAAGTTTTCTGATCAAGGCCTCTGAAAACATAACTTTTCAAATGTTAGTGAAGTCTCCTGGCTGGCCAGTTGTGGTCTTAATGGAATCCAGCCAAAATTAAGCACCTATTGAGTCAAGTGGGGAGAATCAAGAATTTCTCCAAATGAAATTGTTGAGGATAAAAGAGACTGCCATATATACATGTATTCTGCCATTGCTTGGTGTTGGTACTTGCTTTAGCAGATAGCGGCCGTCTTATATTGAGCTTTCAACCACCCTTCATGTAATTGGCAAACTGCCTTGCTCGGGTATTGCTGTGGCCCAAGTCTCTGTGTGTCCCTTAGCAAACAGTGTTTTAACTGACTTTGGTCTTGTTCTTGCAGGCAGCCCAGCCATGACGCACAGAAACCTGACTTCCTCTAGTTTGAACGACATCTCTGACAAACCTGACAAAGAGCAGGTAAGTCTGGAATTCCTGATCATCATTTCCTTGCAAAGACGTACCAGAAAAGAATGTGATGCTCAGGAGGAGATGAGCACGTTAGGATGAAGGGAAAACGGGAGCAGTTGCAATTTTTAAAGCACTTTCTGTTTTAAGAGGCTATCGTCTTATTGCCAGTGTTGAGTTGAAGGCTCCTGACTTGGTGGTTTATCACTTTGCCCAAGAGATCCTGCAGAATTCTTCCAGCTTTTTAATAGGCCAAAGCAAGCAAGCCTGCCCTTTTCCTGTTGGAGAAGAAAGCTCTTAATTTCTAGAGTTTTTCCTCTATCTTTCACATAAGGAGGTCAAATGCAAGTGGTGTTGCAGGTCTAAATTCACTCCCCATTGCTGCCCTTCCCTCATACTCTTGCTTGCATTCAAATTTCTTAATTATCAATCGCTTTTTTAAAAAAATCATTCTTAACTAAAACAAGGAGCAAGAACAACGCTGAGGTGAAGATAAACAAGGTTTACCAAATGATGGAAAAGTTCGATTGGCCTGTTTTGTTTATGTGTGTGTAATCAGTTGTAGTTTTTTGTTGTATGTTACACTGGCATTTGACAACTTAGAGCCCTCCACCCCAGAGCTCTGAGGAATCCTATCCCAAGTTCAACACCAATTTCTCCCAACACACACACACACACACACACACACACACACACACACAGAGACACAGCAAGAACCTAGTGAGCTAAAGTACTGCAAAATGGTTTTGTTAATCTCATAAAGTTGACAAATAAATCATTTTGATGGGGTGGGTGGATGAGGGTGTCGATTTGATCATGCTGATCCTTCAAATTCTGTCTCACACCAGACAGATTCAGGTGATATTTGTGCGCTTATATATATACAGTGGTGCCTCGCAAGACGAAATTAATTCGTTCCGCAAGTTTTTTCTTCTTGCGAGTTTTTCGTCTTGCGAAGCACGGTTTCCCATAGGAATGCATTGAAAATCAATTAATGCGTTCCTAGGGAAACCGCTTGCCAGGCTGGCGGTGCGGAGAAGGGCTTTTCTCCCCACCGCAAGCCTTCAGCACAGGTACGGGAACAGAGGGGAAGGCGCGCAGCGCTTTCCCTCTGTTCCCGGGGCTTGCGTGGGAGGAGGGTTTTTCCTCCCCACCGCCAACATTCAGAACAGCATTCTGAATGTTGGCGGTGGGAAGGAAAACCCTTTTCCCACCCCAAGTCTTCAGGACAGCCATCCGAAGGCTGGCGCGGGGAGAAGGTCTCTCCGCCCCCCCCCCACGCCAGGCTTCGGTGCATCCTTCAGAGGCTGCTGCCATAGTCACGCGTCACTTCTCCAGCTGGGAGAGGGTCGCGGGGCTATGGCTTCTTTAGCCCCGCGCGCGCTCTCCCGGCTGGAGAGGTGACGGGCGCCTATGGAGGCTCCTGCCATAGGCGCGCGTCACCTGGGAGAGGGTCGCGGGGGGCTTCTTTAGCCCCGCGCGCGCTCTCCCGGCTGGAGAGGTGACGGGCGCCTATGGAGGCTCCTGCCATAGGCGCGCGTCACTTCTCCAGCCGGGAGAGGGTCGCGGGGGGCTGGTTTAGCCCCGCGCGCGCTCTCCCGGCTGGAGAGGTGACGGGCGCCTATGGAGGCTCCTGCCATAGGCGCGCGTCACTTCTGCAGCCGGGAGAGGGTCGCGGGGGGCTGGTTTAGCCCCGCGCGCGCTCTCCCGGCTGGAGAGGTGACGGGCGCCTATGGAGGTTCCTGCCATAGGCGCGCGTCACTTCTCCAGCCGGGAGAGGGTCGCGGGGGGTTTCTTTAGCCCCGCGCGCGCTCTCCCGGCTGGAGAGGTGACGGGCGCCTATGGAGGCTCCTGCCATAGGCGCGCGTCACATCTCCAGCCGGGAGAGGGTCGCGGGGGGCTTCTTTAGCCCCGCGCGCGCTCTCCCGGCTGGAGAGGTGACGGGCGCCTATGGAGGTTCCTGCCATAGGCGTGCGTCACATCTCCAGCCAGGAGAGGGTCGCGGGGGGTTTCTTTAGCCCCGCGCGCGCTCTCCCGGTTGGAGAGGTGACGCGCACCTATGGAGGCTCCTGCCACAGGCGCGCGTCACCCGGGAGAGGGTCGCGGGGGGGCTGCTTTAGCCCCACGCGCGCGCTCTCCCAGCTGGAGAGGTGACGCTCGGCTATGGAGGCTCCTGCCATAGGCGCGCGTCACCTGGGAGAGGGTCGCGGGGCTATGGCTTCTTTAGCCCCGCGCGCGCTCTCCCGGTTGGAGAGGTGACGCTCGGCTATGGAGGCTCCTGCCATAGGCGCGCGTCACCTGGGAGAGGGTCGCGGGGCTATGGCTTCTTTAGCCCCGCACGCGCTCTCCCGGTTGGAGAGGTGACGCTCGGCTATGGAGGCTCATGCCATAGGCGCGCGTCACCTGGGAGAGGGTCGCGGGGCTATGGCTTCTTTAGCCCCGCGCGCGCTCTCCCGGTTGGAGAGGTGACGCTCGGCTATGGAGGCTCCTGACATAGGCGCGCGTCACCTGGGAGAGGGTCGCGGGGGGCTGCTTTAGCCCCGCGCGCGCTCTCCCGGCTGGAGAGGTGACGCTCGGCTATGGAGGCTCCTGCCATAGGCGCGCGTCACTTCTCCAGCCGGGAGAGGGTCGCGGCAGGCTGCTTTAGCTTCTTTAGCTTCGGAGCATCCTTCCGAAGCCTGGCGGCAGGAAGAGGTGTCCCCGCCCCGCTGCCAGGCTTCGGAGGAGGTCCGAGGACAGCGGGGAAGACGCGCTGCGCTTCCCCGCTGTCCCGGAGATTTCCCTATGGGCTTTCGTCTTGCGAAGCAAGCCCATAGGGAAATTCGTTTTGCGAAGCGCCTCCAAAACGGAAAACCCTTTCGTCTAGCGGGTTTTCCGTCTTGCGAGGCGTTCGTCTTGCGGGGTACCACTGTATATATATATATATATAGAGAGAGAGAGAAGTCAATCTAAGTGCAGCAAGGGAATAATACATTATTTAGTGGCATCTTGAGGTAGATGAAAAGACCTTTGTCTTTTCCATGACAGCTGACTGGCTTGCATTCATTAGTTTGCTGTGCTTCCTACAAGTTTGACAATCCTCAAGGCTTTGTTTTGAAATGCCATTCTGTTCAGAAAATAAATACCGAAAAACTGGAGAGCTGTATCACTCTCTTGTTTTGTTTTGCTTTTTTGTCCACCGAAGGCTAGAGGGTGGGGTAGTATGTGCTGATATACTGAAGTTTCCTCATTGTTTTTATTTTCCTTATTATTATCCTTATGCCCATGACAACCTTATTTGCATCAGGATGGAAACCCATTCTTCCTCAAACAGAGAAAGCGATAAAACTGAGCAAAGACACTCATCTGACCTACCCTAATAGGTCATGTTTCATTGTAGGAAGCTATGGCTATTTATGACAGTCAGCCAAACAGAACGGACACTGAGGTCCCCATTCACTTCATGTTAAATCATTTAAATCCCATCGACTGCAGAGGGAGGGGATTAGGTCCACGCAGCACTCGTCTATATAGTGGCAGTTAAATATACTCTGTGCTTACTTCCCAGCTCATCTAGAAACCCTGTTTTGCTCAATCCATCGCTGCTCTTTCAACTGCACAGAATATTTTAAGTTGTGCAATGGAGCTCTCCGCTTCTCTCCTCTGCAGCCCCCTGCCCTCCACACCCTCAAATTTTTCTCTGTAGGTTTGTGGGACCATCCAGAAAAGACTCAGGGTGTGTGATGGGAGAGGACAGGATGGGGAAAGACCTGTTACATGAGCATAACTATACTTGTATGACATTAGGCAAAGGTAAAGGGACCCCTGACTGTTAGGTCCAGTCGTGGACGACTTTGGGGTTGCGGTGCTCATCTCGCTTTACTGGCCGAGGGAGCTGGCATACAGCTTCCGGGTCATGTGGCCAGCATGACTAAGCCGCTTCTGGTGAACCAGAGCAGCGCACGGAAACACTGTTTACCTTCCTGCCAGAGCGGTACCTATTTATCTACTTGCACTTTGACATGCTTTTGAACTGCTAGGTTGGCAAGAGCAGGGACCGAACAATGGGAGCTCACCCCGTTGCAGGGATTCGAACCGCCGACCTTCTGATCGGCAAGTCCTAGGCTCTGTAGTTTAACTCACAGCGCCACCCGCGTCCCATATGACATTAGGTATCGCCCCATAATTTTGGTCATCTAGTAAGTGGTCTTGCTTGGTTCCTTCGCACGTGTACACAGAGAGTAAAAATAATCTCAAATTGCCTCCTTCATCTCTAAGCAGATGATTCTGTGTTCTGAAAGGTTTGTGTATTCCGTGTCAGCTGAACTTAGGTTCTAAAAACGTTCTGTTTCACCGCAGGCCGACACGATTTCTGGCAGCCAGTTAGCACGCATCTTTATTCAGGAACTGCATCAGTTAAACAATGGGATAACTGATTTATATTAGTGGTTTTAGACAAGCGTTTGTCTCACTGATTTTAAACTCCCCGTTACTGAATCAATCTACCCTGACCATGTTTTCTGTTTATGGGTTCAGCTACTTTGCTCATGTCCAGAAAATAGCCTTTCCATTTCTTTTAGTGACCCTGGGATTTCTAGTGTGAACAACCTGCAAGTGTGTGGTATCAGAATAGTGGACTCAGTTGTGCAATGTCATAAATGAGAATGTTACAGTCAGCAGTATGGTAAGACAGTAACCAGGACTCAGGTTAATCTGTGTTCCAGTAGGGCCTTATTTATTTATTTAAAAAGCACCCAGAGCCGTTCGGAAGTTGCTGGAGATGCATTTTTGTTGCCTTGGGCAGTCCAGTTGCCTAACTGGGTGTCTGTTGGTGCTACAACAGTGCTGGATACAAGCCAGTGAGGGCAATAGCCATGGAATACAGTTTGTATGTGTGTTTGTTTGCGTGTATACATGCATGGAAGGGATGCGGGTGGCGCTGTGGGTTAAAGCCTCAGCACCTAGGACTTGCTGATTGAAAGGTCAGTGGTTCGAATCCCTGCGGCGGGGTGCGCTCCCGTCGCTCGGTCCCA